ACTTGAGACTCGACTCTGACTTGCCTGACATTACTTGAGACTTGACTTGAGACTTGAGGATAAAGACTTGAGACTTACTTGAGACTTGACTTGAGACTTGAGGATAAAGACTTGAGACTTACTTGAGACTTGCAAAACAATGACTTGGTCCCACCTCTGCGTAACACTGCTCAGGAATCGAGAAACAAGCCACTTTTCTTCACCTGATGGTGTTCTATATGAGAACGCATAAGTTGGACTGGTAAAATTTGCTGTACCTCATAGCACGTCGGAAACAATTACATCCCTTTCCTTAATGTGATTATAATGCGCCCACAATGCAGACTTAATGTGCAGACATTATTAGCGCGCAGAGTCGCTGTAATGTTTTCAGGTTAATGCTGCTGTCTTGCTTTGTTATATGTAAATGAGTCAGCACCGATGCCAACAGGCTTTAGCTAATGACTGTCAGGACGCCAAAGAGGAAAGCTTTAGTTTAGCAGGTAAAGCCTACAATCTAGCCATCATGACAACAATAACCGCCTCATTCTCTCCCTCGCCGGCTCTATTCTCACTGCAATTACTTGAACATCAGAAACAATAGCTTCATGATCATCAGTATTTACAATGGTGGAAATCAGAACGAGCACTGAGGGCATCTGCTGTTATTATGGACATTGTATCTTTTGTGAGCATATGAAGTCAGTGGTTCTTCTTTGTTTGATTGTTTTGTTTTTTTAAACTTTAGAATAGTGGTATGAAATATTAAAAAGCAAATATATTATAAAAAGAAATGTCCAATGTCAAGTACTGTCACAGGGGAAAAATTTGCTCTTGAATTTTAATTCCGAATCCTTTGTGTCTCTCAGGGGAAGCGACAATAGCTGCTGTTTATACACGAGCAGCATAACAGATACTGGTCTCAGTTCTGCTTCAGCTGCTTCTTGGCTGTTCATTTACAAGACATTGGCTGCACCTTCCCTTATTGTTTTCATATCAATCACCAAGTTAGAGTATATTATCATGAGGCACTGGCAGGCGGCAAACTTCTAACTCTATCATCTATGAGCTAATGAGGCTAGCATTGCTTCAGAGGCATTAACAGGGTATTATAGTCCCATCTGATCATCACTAATAAAACACAATAAATTGCGGCTGGGATCCTTTGCCTGCTATTATGCTGGCTATGATTCTAACTTGATTTTTTGTTTTGTTTGCTTTTTAAACCAGTTTCCCTCTGGTTGACCAGGGTAAGCCAAAATAATACAGATTCTCACTGGGTTCTCATTGGCTCCGCTTTGAGAGTCACCACCATCGCCAGGCAGCATATCAAAGACATTTGTGCAAATTACTTGCACGCTGTGTGGTCAAATGTTTGTGCATGTTGGAGCCATCAGTGCTGTCTTTACTAGACTACTTGTTACATTACCTTTGCATCTTCCCATAAAAAGACCCGAAACACACAGTCTCAGAATTACCACTTAACTATATTACCTATAGGCTACAGACCAACACAAATCTCTATTCTAATGAGGACACACATAAGATCTTTCTCTTCGTACGTTATGAACACAAAGCAAAGATGAAGTAATGTCAGAAGTAAATGTTGCTCACTGGCTAACAGTGTTAGGATTAATGTGTAACAGGCAGAATATTCAGATTACCGTTTTTGTTGTAATAAATAACCAAACAAACTTTTGCAAATAGGCAACCTGCTATCATACCACGAAGCTCCTGGCACACAGTTTTTGTGCTGATGTTAATGCCAGAGGAAGTTTGGAACTCTGCAGTTACTGAGTCAGCACAGCACTGGTGATTTTGACACCCACTCTGTAACATTACATGGTCTCCCACTGCATGGCTGAGCTGCTCCACTTTGCAGTAATACCACTTACAGTGGATTGTGAAAAGGGGGGAAAAGTTTCAGGGCTCAATGCAGCAGTGGCCTCCTATTATGATACCATACTCCAATTCAGTGAGCTCCTTAGAATTACCAAATTTGTTTCAAAATGTTTATAACATGTATGTAAGTATTCACAACCTTTTCCATGACACTTAAAATTGAGTTCAGGTGCATCCTGTTCCCATTGATCATCTGTGACAATGGACTC